CTCGACCCTGTCTGCAGCCGCACGACGGCTAGTAGTCTAGGCAAGTGCCATGACGTCTAGACAACTACTGTTGTAAGGCTGACATGTTTTGTGGTGTCACCGTTTAATTACGCCCTTTGGAATCCCCAAGGAAGAACACAATAAAGAGGGCGTAACTTTGGGGGCCACCGGGAGGAGAGTTTATCATGTACAAAACCCGGAGTTGCTGTCTCAGTTGGCAGTTATGTCGCTGGCTGATGTCCACTGCTGAATGTATCGCCTCGGGACGATGCCCGGGCCTAAGGTGGACTGGTGGTGTCCTTGTCAGTCCGTGTTGCAACTCACTGTCTGAGATAGGACGGTTGCTTATAAGGGATTTTCAAGCGCGTTCGCTTGTTGCACGATTGGATGCGTTAGAATAAGGTTACCTGCCGTGTGGCACACCTAAGTGGCCCTTGAGGAACTGCGACTGTTTGGGCTCACGCGCTTGTGAGGGAATATCGGGTCCAGCGGTTTAAGGTCATCCCGTGGGGAAAGTCACAGCGAAGTCACAAAGAACTTGCGGTGGTCCGCATTGACAAAGGCGTCATGGTTTGCAGTCGACCACAGGTACGAGCGCCAATACAACCGACAATGTTAGGCTGGCATTCGGTTAGGCTAGGCTCCCAACAACTATCATGACGCCGTAACAACCCCTCTCAAAGGCCGATAGTATGTAGCTCCTATCGCGCTACCAGTCTGGTGTGGCAGTTTCGCTTTCACGTTTGATTTAATTTCGTTTAACGACGGCTTGGTGTCATCAGCTCGCAAATTTACAAGTTCAATTTGATCTCTCGGAGGAGCCTTTGTCCTTCGTACTACATTTTATTTGAATATGTTCGTCAGATGATAGTGATGGACACTATCCTATTCAGGTTTAAAAACGTCAGGAGCTCCAGTGCCTGGAGCCAGAACCTCTCCAGTCCCGCAAACGTGGACACGGCCGACGGGCAGAGCCCAACCACAATTCCACAGCTCGTCGGAGTGTTTTCAGTCCTAGATGACTCCGTTCAGAAGGCGGTGGAGCGTCTTCTGGCATGGTTAGATTCTGATGCCTCAAAGGTAAGATTCGCCTACTTATGTGAATACCTAACGCGTTTTAGCATCCGTGTTACTAATTCGTAAAGTCATTCATCTTACTCCATTCTTGATGCCTGAGAAATGGTTAAGTAGGTGACCTGACAAGAATATAGCAATAGGCCTTCGAAAAGGCAGGTCTGAAGTTTTATCATGGTGTCTCCATGAGAATAAATTCCTACGGTTTCTGTATAAGTAGTATGTGTACTACTGAATGAAATGCGTGTTCGATCTTCTGTCAGAAGCATACGAGAAGAAAGAGACGCAATTATTGATGTCGCTTACTTGAAACTTAATGAGTTCAGCATGAGCACCTTCCGAAAAGCATGTTTTTCTAATAGAGTCGAGCATCTTTTGTAACTTGATTGGTGAGCGCCACTTAACCAGAACTCATAATCCGAAACAAAACCGACTGGAAAACGAGTGCGTGGCTCATTGTTAGGACGTTCGACTTAAGGACCAAAGAGTCCGGATTAGAATTAAACGTAGTCCACACTTGTGATTGGGTATAACTGGTTGATGACGGCCAATAAGCCATAAATAGTCATTCTCATCCTTGAACGGATCATCGGAGATAGAGAAATGGGAAATACACACTTTCAATAGACCTTTTTCTTATTCATTCCTGATAGGTTCATCATGGTCTGTTCTCATTCGTCCTATCTTCTTGCCTAAGTGGTGTTCAATGACCTCATATGGCGCTGTTAGATCTATCTTGCGGTTGATAGAACTGGCCTCCGCTATCTCTCTCGCCATGTTGTGCTCTGTCGGGCAGATAACTTGTGAATTGTCGAAGCTGAAGTGATAATTATTTTCGAGGCTGTGCATGGCAGCATAAAATCGTCAACCTTTTCGCTTTACGGCTGGGCCGTTAGCCAACCCTTAGGTAAAAAGAAGAGAGGACCAAAGCGAATAGACCCTGGTGGACCTATCAAGAGTGAACAAGAAAAGGACATTTTTAAAGTATGTACTTCCCCTTTTTCCTATCATCATTTGTGCGCTCAAGGACAAGCATAAAACTTCAGACGATGATAAAACCATCCTTTCCAGAAATCGCCTTATATTCTTAATACATCTTACCACCTGGAGTCAGCATTTTCGCGTGTGATGAACTTCGATTTGATGAAGTGTTTATGGTCCATCTGTTGGACCCAGTGTGTGACTTACCTGCGCCGCACTCGAACGCATGTCCTCAATTCCAGTGTTAGGAGCATGATTGACTGAATGAGGGCAGAATAAACTCAAAATAGACTGTTTCAATCGTTTATGACCGTTCATTTATCGCTAATGGAATTCACTCGTTCCGCGCTGTCTTAAGGGCTCATCTCGATCCTCGTCAGCAGCTGTACAGCGGTTTTTAGTTATTATTAGTCTTAGGGAGTCTTTCTTGTCCTTGCCGACAATACTATCTGCCTAGGCTGCTTCAATATACCCACATTTTCTGTTGTCCCTCCTCCCTCTTGTTGTATATACATATATTATTGTGGCAGGATTGTCCGCCGATCAAGTGACTTAACATGCTCCTCCAGCTGAGTTCTCCGGTAAGAAGTCAGACTTAACGCTCGTTGAATAGAAGACTTCAGGTAATATAGACCTGAGACTGGGCATAGCTAGCTGACGACTGCTCAGAGACGAGAAATAGACATCGTAGTTCCTCCTGTCTCAATTGATATTCCTTCCGGCATATATAAACATCTTGCTTTATGCCTTCACCTGTCTTATTATTGTCGGCCTCCTCACCTCTCAGTTGGAGTTATTCAGCCAGGAACTCCATAAACTGGAGGATCGGTGGAAAGCCTACACCACAGATCGGGATGCCTTCAGGTCTTGGCTTTGTGACCGATCCGCGATAGGTCGTCTTCTTCGAGACGCGGAACCCGCCTCGGCCTCGGCAGTCGAAGCGGACACTGCTGCCATTGAGGTAAGCCCTCTGTCTGATGTCGCAGGTCAACTAAACGTCCTTAGAACGCGGTCATTCGAACACTTGTTATTGAATACCAATTGAATTAGTTTCCTCCCTTTAATTTGACCTTATAG